TCCTGCCCGGCGCGTCCCCGCGTCCTCCCGGCCGCCGCGTCTCACGTGTCCCCCACCCCCGTGCGCAGCGCGCGGCTCGTTCTGATTTCAGCCTGACGTTGATGCTTCATCTACTCTCCCATCCGTTACTCCGTTCCCCTTGGAACGCCTTCATTTTCCTTCAAAGTATCCTTATCTAAAATCTTATACATTTTTTAAATTCTGTTATTTCCCTCCAAATGATGTCACCCTTGTGAGTGTAAGAATTTTATCATGTGTGCCCAGTACCTTCGTCACCTAGAACAGGGCCTGATGCACAGCTGGCCCTCGAAACACTTGTATGTGAACAGATCATTTATTTTAGTTAAGACATTTTGTATAGTTAGCGTTTAAAACAGAGCCGAGTTTGACATCTATGCACCGTTCAAGTGTGTTTGTTTGCACATTGCGTTACAATTGTATTTCAGCGAAGAGGTTTGATTCTGCATGTTTTCTTCTGCAGAACATAAATATGTTCATTTTGTTTCGTAAGTGGGTTTTAACATTAATTTAAGGTGAGAATATTCAAATGGGTATACTGACTTAAATATTCAGCAGGGAGTGAACGGGCTTCCTTGTGTTGCTCACATTAGAAACTACAAAGGTCGAAACGAAGCCAGTGTTTACACTCAGAGGTAGAGACTGTGCCTGAGCTGCGGGCAGTGGCGGTGAGGACCGTGCGTCTGTGACCCGTGGCCTCCGCATTGTTGACGCATCTGTGCCGCCCTGTGCATCCCTCAAATGACAGGAAACCAAGCGCCTTCCTCTCAGGATTAAATGACCCTTTCAGAGCTTTTGTGACTAAATGTCGGATGAATTGAGTATCCTTTTGAAACTCGATGAAAATGAACATAAACATAAAGCACTTTTTGTTGTTTTGAGTGTTTGTAAAAATGTGTTCATCGTATAACTTTTTAACGGTTCCTTTGATTTCCCGTTTTCAGAGATTGACAAGGGGGGGTGCGGGGACCCGGGCGTGCCGGCCTACGGGAGGCGCACGGGGAGCCGCTTCCTCCACGGGGACACGCTGACCTTCGCGTGCCAGGCGGCCTTCGAGCTGGTGGGCGAGCGGGCCATCACGTGCCAGCAGAACAACCAGTGGTCAGGCAACAAGCCGAGCTGCGTGTGTGAGTGTCCCCGGGGCTGCCCACCGCCCGGGCCACCCTGCCCCGCGCGCGGGGGGTGGGGGCAGTGGGTGCGTGTGCACGCAGGGGTCTCCCTCCGGGCCCTGCCACCGCTGCCCAGTGGCGTGCAGGGCCGTGCCCCATGGGCCCTCGCTGACGGGCGGCGTGCTTTGGGCGGCTGGAGAAAACGCAGCCGAGCCCCTGTGCGGGACGGGCCCCAGCACGCAGCGCGGTGTCCGACGCTGGGCTGCGAGTGGCCTCAGTGGGCGATGGCCTTCGTGGCTCAGGACGCTGGGCGGCTGAGGGACACAGCTCGGACGCATGGGCGGGAGGAGCGCTCTAGGTTTCCGGTGACGAGCCGCCTGCTCCGTCATCCAGAAGGTGTTTTAACAAGGGGAGAAGCACGCGGCAGGCGACTTAAAAGCACAGCGACGTCCAGAAAGAGCAGGCGGCTCGACGCGGCATGCGAGGCAGAGCCACAGCCTAGAAATAGATCCGACTAAAACGGGATCAGAGACACAGAGACAGGGCTGACTTTTAAGTACACGTCCTTAAAAGGAAGTTTTCCAAGAGATTTCCGTAGTGTCCACCCAGAGCGTGGACTGAGTTTCCGAGTCTTTATTTCCCAGTAGTGACCCTGTGACTAGTAAGTAACTTGAGGAAAACGCCCTTTACGGGGAAACAGAACCGCGAAGCGAAAACGTAGGCGGGAGACTGGGGGCCGGTGTTATTTTCTGGAGCTCGCCCCTCGGGCGTCGGTGTCTGCCCTCGCGAAGGCGGGGGGTCGTGCCTAGAAACGCCTCGGTTCGCGCAGGGGTCGGTCCCCCGATGGGCGACATCGAATCAAGCCCCCTCGCCGGTGCGGGCCGGCGCCGCCCCGCCCAGTGCGGCAGTCCCTCCCTTCGGGATCTGGGGGGACAGACGGGGTCCGGCGTCAGCAGGCGGAGAAGCGGGGCCCCCACCCCCCAGCGCGTCCCCCGGCCCCGCGGGCTGAGCCCCTGTGTGTCTCCGCAGTCTCGTGCCTCTTCAACTTCACCGCGTCGTCGGGCATCATCCTGTCGCCCAACTACCCCGAGGAGTACGGCAACAACATGAACTGCGTGTGGCTGGTCATCGCCGCGCCGGGCAGCAGGGTGCACCTCATCTTCCACGACTTCGACGTGGAGCCGCAGTTCGACTTCCTGGCCGTCAAGGACGACGGGGCGTCCGAGGTCACCGTCCTCGGCACCTTCTCCGGCAACGAGGTGCCCGCGCAGCTGGCCAGCAGCGGCCACGTGGTGCGCCTGGAGTTCCAGTCCGACCACTCGACCACCGGCCGCGGCTTCAACATCACCTACACCAGTG